TTCACATTTCCAGGTTTTTTTTGGCTTTTTCCACACTGCCCTAGACTCTACTAATCAGCAAAATTTAAGAAAATTCTGAGATATGTATAATATATAATACCATATATAGTAATATGTAATATATAATATATAAAACCGTCAGAAGGACAGGACAACCGTCATATAAGTTAATAAAAATTTAGAACTACCTAACAAGAGGGAAAAAAATAAATTAGAGTTCATTAGTAGATGGATGTAACCAGTCAGTCCAGCTGTATGATTGAAGATGGAATTCAAAACAAACCTTTAAAAATGCAATAAAACTGTCTCTAGACTTATAAATGGAACAGTCACTAGCAATCCTAAGGCAGAGCTTGTAATCACAGGATAAAGAACTTGGAAGAAATCCAAACTGACTCTGTGAAGTTGGAAAGACGGAAGATCAACCGTGATCTGGATGAGTCTGGCTGGAAGTCTGGCTGTTATGACATCTCAGCAGAATTTTGAAAAAATTAGAATTTTAGCATACTTACGCCATCGTAATTGAAGAGGGAACAGTAACTTTGTTTGATTGCGACTAGTCTTGATACGTGGTCAGCACTTCTATCTGCGCTACTCGAATATGTCTTTAAAAATGGTACATGAAAAAAAATCAAATTGTTTTTCAAATCCTAGTCACTTTGTTATGAGTCGCGGACTTTTAAGTCTCAAATTTGCTAGTCTAGAACTGAGTGTAACTTCTTTCTGGCTAAGTCTACATAGCTTTAGGATATTTTATTGTAAGAGGCTGTTAGGGGATTCTTCATAAAGGAATATGGTCGAAAAATAGGTTGTAGAAAGTTTGGAAAAAGCTGGTAATCGTATTTGATGGTCTCGTTTACACTCCATTTTGTAATCAGCGTTTTTATTTTTGTTATTTGGTGACCGGACAAAAGGGATCGGTTGTAAGAAAGCGTTGTGATTGCTCGCCAGTGTTCCGATTGGTTTTTGACAGGAGAGATGCCTACCTGTTTGGACTGCGTAGTGTCAGATAGAGTTACTGCAGCAAAGAGTCATATCGCGGCGAACAGGATTCGAACCTGTGCGGGCAAAGCTCATTTGATTTCTAGTCAAACTCCTTAACCACTCGGACATCGCCGCTTGCGTTCGGCAGCTCTCTGAGCCGTTATACTAATGAAAAGAAATTCCTGACACAAGTAAAATTTGTTTGTTTCGAAAAATATTGCTTCAGCCGGTTTTAGAATTTTAATGGAACTTTTTATTTTCCGTTTCAGGTTATCCTGTGTAGTTCAATTTTTGATTACCATGTCAATTCTGGAATGTTCTACAAAAAAGTTTTGCTTTCTTCTGCTACTACTTCTAAAATATTGACTTGAGCTTGGGCACAGCAGATATTTGTATTTCCATTCAGGTAAGAATAAGCCCTTGGCTGAAGAGCGTCTTTGGAAACTTTAGAAGTATAGAAAAAAATCACTTTTGGTAGCGTCGTTGGAAGTTGTCGCAGGTGACTCAAAAATCAATAACAAAAACAGTGTTCTAATTTTTCAGTCAATTTTTTTCAGTTTTTATATCAGTTTTTGGCGACAAAGAAACAGCTTACGCAGCCTCCATTTTTAAAAGTAATTTCCTACTTAAAATTGAAATTAGGCGAAAAGCGGAGCTTTGAAATTAGGGAAATCAAGACATTGATTAAATGAGACTTAGCATAAATATGCAAATCTGCTGTAGTACTTGAAAGTTCTTAACTCTGTAGTTTGAAGTGAAAGTGCATTTGTTGAAAAACTCACCGTATGAAAAATTTCCTGGATTACAACATTTAAAAATCATGTTAGTGTAATTATTAGAAAACTCTTTTTGATCTACTAATTCATGAAGAGTTTGGTATAGGCAGGAACTAACGACCGTACCAGTAGACTTCGTTTTAATTTTAACTTACATTCGAAAATAGGCTGAAAAGCAAGTTATTTTCATTATTGGTTCACATCTTTGCTGAAATGTTTCACCTCATTTTGTTTTTTTTTCTTTTTTTTTAATTTTGTTTAGTGACTGGGTAAAGTGCTGGAGTTTTACTTATTGATCTGTAAAACACAGTGAATTTTTTGGTAACTAGTTAAGTGTCATCTCATTTTCGCTAATCTATTCTTTTATGGTGGTTCTTCCCGGTTGTAGTATTTTACTGGATTCTGAGTGCTCACTTTCAAAGTCAGCATATCATAAAACTGAGGCATACACGTATTTCTGGATGAGCAAAATGGCATTCAGAAAAACTGCATTTTGCCTCCGAACTTCTCTAAAGTTAACAACTGGATCGCCGTAGAATCCTGAGCGAAAAATTGAAGGTCATTTTTGTTATATAAATTGAAAATCTGGTTTTGAACTTCAATCCCAAATTCTGAAGCCAATTCCGGTTTTTCATTAATTGAGAGTGATTATTGGAACTTTAAATTTGATGAATTTTTGCGTCATTTTTGTGGAAAAAAATGTGTTGTTTCGACGTTGGTCTGTCTTACCTCTTATAGTTTCAAGCTTTTCTATTACCAAGTATTTTAAGGCTTTTTATCCAATGATAAATTTTATCTGATCTGTAAGCAAATTCATTTCAAGGTTGTTTGTTCTCGCTGAGCATTTTATGTCGTGGTCGGTTTTTAGTCAATCGGTTTATGGGAAACACTTTGTTCGCTTAGTAGCTGTTAAGTCATTTAAAAATTTGCTTTGTACAGAGTGCCGAAATTTTAAAGTACTTTTGAAGCTAGAATACAATGGGGTCTTGTTTTCTAACCCTTAAATCTCAATATTCGGATCAAAAAAACAATAAAACTTCAATTAAAGGACAAGATTGATTTAAAATAATGACTCTTTGAAATCACTGTCTTGAAAAGCAAAAATAACAGTTCTGCAGATCAGCCTGTCGTCTCCTTTTTACTATAGTTTTTGTGCTTGACAATATAAAGTTAGTCTTCAGGGGTGATTTGATCAGTTACTAATTTACTCCCTTTTCCTCTTTAATCGTTGCATTTACTGGTTCGAATGTGAAGTCTTCTAAAAATACCGCCGGGTAAGCAGTGTAGCAAATAAAGCAAAAAAGTTTTTCGTTTATCTTTCTATGCAACGGTTATTAGGCTGGCTTTTCCCTAATGTTTTCCAGTGAGAATTGTGTTGTGACTTTCAGCTCGTTTCAAAAACCGACAAAGTATATTTTATTATGCTTATTAGGCGCACAGTTCGGAACCTTTTAAATTAAAAGAAGTTGTTCAAGAAAGGATCTTTCAAAAAAATAGTTATTGTTACTTTCTTCTATTGAAAATACAATGTTTGGTTTCAAAAAATATCTTTTGTACAAAGTACGCTGTGCAGAATTGTTTTTTTGATAGTTACGTCATCGGTAAAGAACTTAAAACGAAGAAGTTTGCAGCACGTCACCAATATCATAAACTTCTGAACAAGCTCTAGAACCACCATGCTTTTCAAAGATACTGCTGTGTTGATGTGAACAGAAACAGCCAATAAGTTCTCTGTTTCATTAAATTCTCGCAAGTTTGCTTTACAACCTAACTTACAGATATAAAATGCTCGTCAAAAACATGTGCAAATGGCCAAAATAAACACGAAGTTTGACTTCTTTTCACTATATTTACTTGTTTTAATTATCTAATTCTTTAGTCCAATTATTAAGTTTTTAGCTGCATAAAGGAAGAGATAAAAATAACTTTCAAAACACTTATCGAAAATCTTTTGGCGTTACACAGTCAGATCAGTAATTCTTCATTTGCGTAATATTTTGCTCCATAAGTTACTGTAAAAGAAAGATATAATTGGTTCCACTTTTTAAAAAAATTGATCAAAGAACTACTCCTTTTATAGAACAGTTGTTGTTTCAAGTTTGATTTTTTTCTCATATAGATATCTTGTTGTTCTGCTAGTTTCTTTTTATGAAGCACCGGGGTAGTCTTTTTTAGTAACGTTTCAACATGGTTGTCACCATTCTGCGGTTTCTGTAGCTCACTGCTCACTCCTTCCGTTCGGTATACCGTGTATTTTTTGGAAACATTTTACTGTATTGACCTAAAAGTTACTTTATGATGAGCAATTAGTGACTCATTACGATTCACCTTGAATATAGTGCCATTGCTATCTGACTGTAAAACTGCGAGTGCAAGCAGAGTACACAGTTTCATTTGTAACCTATAAGTAAATCCCAACAACTTAATTAGAAACAGAATATTTGCTCATAATGAACGTAATTTGGTGTAAAAACCATTAAAAAAAACAAAATAAATATTACACAAAAAATTCGGTTTAAGTATCGAATTTTGGATTTTTTTCTTATTTTTTGATTTTTTAAAACTATTTGTAGTGTATTTCATTAAAAGACAAGAAAAACTGAGCAAAACTGCAGTAGCAATTCTTGGTTAGGACCACTCGCTTTCTGAATTAGTTTACATAAGTAGAAATATAAGGCGTTTCCAAAACAACACCATAAAGCTTGAGTCTGAGACAGCACTAAAAATTTAATGTACAAACAACTACTAAAACTAAATGATCGCCTGCCTACTCGTAAAGCTATGAAAGCGAAAAAACAACAGTAATCTTCCAGTATAATCAATGTTTGACAAACTTTCTTCTACAAGCGTACAAAGCTAAACAAAAAAAGGGTAAAGGATAAATTTGGGTTTTTAGCAAGAAGGACTACATTGAATACCTTGACAAAAATACTTTTAATATTCAGTAGCAGTTTATGCTACTTCTAGTATTAGCTGCGAATAAACACAGTTTTGAATGTGACATCAACTACTCGCTACAAGAAAGCAAAGAATATACAACGAGTAATCTCTTTAGTAACTTGTTTTCAGAACAAATCAGACTTATTTCTGTGAAGCAGTTGAGTAGAAACCAGCACTATTTAAGGATTTTCTTTCAAATTCATTATATTAAACAGTTATTAGTTTTCGTACTCATTAAGCTGTGTAGGAACTCAGGTTTTTTGAACTTGAGGTATAGAGAGATCACGAATCAGCAAAAAACTAGTAACGTTCAGGTGGTCTTCGATGAAGTGGAAGGCGAGGTGCTTGATTTCTCGACTGCTCTCTTCTAAACCCTGTTGATGACCGTTCATAAGGAACTTGTTGACTGTAGGATTCTGACTGCTCGTAACCCTGCTGGTCGTAGCCAGTCTGTTCTTCGTAACCTCTCCGACCTTGCAATTGTTGAGAGTAATCCTGCTGCTCGTAATCGTACTGCTGGAACGGCGGAACATTGTAATCATCAGCACCATAGCCGAACTGACGGTACTGATCGTATTGTTGCCTTCCTGTTTCTTGTGGGTAACCGTACTGGTCTTGTTTCTGGTAAGCCGCAGCAAAGTCATACTCAATTTCCTCATCGTAGAACTCTTGACCACTGGGAGCTGGATATCTGTCGTACAGCACAGGGGGGGCGGTACGAAACTGCTCTTCCTCATCTTTGTACTCTTCTTCTCCTAGCTGTTCAGGGAATTCCTGTACAAAATCTTGTTCGGCTTGCTGACTCATTCTTTTCCGGTAGTAATAGAATGCACCTAAGGCAGCAATAAGAGCTAATATGATCCAGATAGTAGTGGCTGATCCTGATGCTGAAAAATTAGAGATTATAAGTAATAGTAGCTCAAAATAACTTCTGACAGTACCTATCAAGTTTATTTCTTTTTTAATGCTAGATCTTCATCTTAAGATGTTTAATCATTTCTGGCTTTCAATGTTTTGAAACTACGTTGTGCTGGATGTTTTAGCAAGAAATTTTCAAGAAAGCTATAATGCGAAAGGAATAGAGCAATAAGCTAACGCTTGGTAGTCTTCTTCCTCTCATACGAAGATAGTTCCTGCAATTGACTAGTCACATAAGTGTGCTTTCCACAGACTAGAAATAAGATAAAGCTAAGTTCTTACCTATTTCTCTAGTGGTTTTAAGTTGTAATTTATGCTGCTTTTTTCAAAGCACATTTAAAGCCAACATATAGGCAGATTGCAAATGAAATGCAGTACCACGAAGAGGAGGAGTTCTAAGAAAAGCTTCTGTATTGAGTTCACTTTTTGAATTAATTGAAGGTACTATTCTGATCAGAAACGATTCTCAGTATCGACCTTTCTAGAATGGTTTAAAAGATGGCTTTACTGACAAACCATTAAAATACTCTGTTCTCGAAATGGTTTTTGAAAACTGCTGATAAAATAAACTTTAAGACGACAACAGTTTTTACATTTAGAAGAGGCTAGTACAAAAATTGATTTTACGCTGGAAGTATTCAATTTAATTCTTGCTTCTGGCTTCAAGTCTCA